GTAACTTTACAGAGGACGAGAAACTTGGGGAGGGAGGTTTCGGTGGGGTTTACCGAGGTTCTTAAAAAAAGGTAATATGTTAACTTCATAATATGCATTTTCAAAATCATTATTGTAATTTTCACTATTAGAAAACTGTGGATTTCCGACTGATTCCCGGCGGACAACATAAAAGTCAACTTTCGTTGACTTCAGCCATAAATACGCCGTTATTTAAATTCCGGCATTATTTCCAGCGGATTTCCGACGGATTATACAAATTAAATATTTATGAAATTATTAACTTTTTTACAGTAAGTTACCGCAGGATTTTTGATTATTTTTTTAAGATTAACGTCCGTCGAAAAATAATTAAAGATCAAAATTTATTATTTAAATTACGGGCGGATGCCAACCGGTAATCCACCGGTAATTTAAAAATAATAAATTCTTCAAGATTTTAAAAAAATATATACTATTGTTTTCCGGTGACTATTTTCCGGCAGATTTCCAGCGGCCCTTTTTTGGCGGATATTTGAAAATTTGTTTTTGTTTTTGTTTTCGTTTTTCATGCTTTAGGTTATATATATATATATATATATGTGTGTGTGTGTGTGTGTGTGTGTGTGTGTGTGTGTAAAATATCACATAGATTCCACATGGTATGTATAGAGGATAATAATTCTCTTATAGAGTCCAACACGCACATACATGTATGTAATACATTCATATATACAAACACATAGTCGTTGTCATTGTTATTATTAGACTTTATTAACTATTAAAAAAATCTTATTTGGTTTTAACGGGTCTTAGTTGAGCGGGTGTTTGATGAGAGACGGAAGAAACAATATGAAGAGATGACTGTTTTGGTCAAACTGCTCGGTCAATCTCAGCAGTTTCCGTCGTCATAGTAATRAATATTTGTTTGTTTTGGAACAATCTAGTTTTCGTTTGGAACAAGTGTGTACTACTTTTGCCAGGATAGTTGTATTGGACATTTCTTGTTTTTTAGTTTAATGTATGATGTTTAACGACATTTCATTTTTTTTAGTTTGTTTTTAATATTTATAGGATCTACAGGTTTTAAATATTTAGGAAAATTATTTTCTGGAGYTGGGTGATTTTCCATCCGGTAGATCACCGCCGGATTTATTTAAAGAATAAAAATAGTAATTTTAAAAATWAAATTAAATTACCGGCKGATTTGGACACTTTCGCCAGTAATTTAATTCGTTTTTTTAAGTCTTATTAATAATTTCTTAATTTAATTAAGATTTTCTAAATAAACTAAAAAAAGTTGGCTAATTGGCTGCCGGAACCAAAAATCCGCTAGTAAATCCGTCGAGAAAATAATCATCGACGTCTCATTTTCCAGCGGCTATATCCCCTGTAAGCTCTATTTCCCAACAGATGACAGATATGGCCGCCGAAAAAAAATGACCGGTTTGGTAGTATTTGAACATTAATATCATATAACATTTGTTTTAATTTTTATACTAACCATATATTTATATCTTTTTTCCAGAAAATTTCTTATTATTTTAATATTTTAAGCATAAGTTTTGAATTTTGACAACAATACAAAAACGTCTTATATAATTCGATAATTTGTCAATACTTATCAGCAGATTAGTAACATCTTTCTTATATTTTAAACAAATGTTCTAAAACATGAGTTGAAGGGTACCCGCATAATGCAACGAGATATATTTTGATTTTAATGTTTCGTTCTATATCTTGAGTCTATCAATGTTATAATGCGATTTTATGTGGTTTTGAGAAAAATAAAAAGAAAATGTTTTTACTTTTGAATGAAATATAAATTTGAAGATATTATAAACTTTTGAAAAAATAATCGATATTATCACCAAATTAAAGTTTTCGTTTTTGTATAAGTTTTTTAATTCAACTTTTTATTATAACTTAATTGAAGTTTAATAATGAACTAATTTATTTTTAGTTTAAAAAAATAATATTTTAAGACAATAATTAGATATTTTGTTAGATTATGTTTACCTGTAGTTAGTTACAATAATTCAAAAATGGAGCTTTCATATGATGTACGCATACACATTCTACTTGTAATCTTAAATTTTAAGTAATATGTATCAGTATACATTACTTTATACATAAAAAATTATTTTAAGAAGTATTTTATCAAATACTTTATTATACTAGAAGGGTATTCGTGCAATGCATCGAGACACATTTCCATTTCAATGTTTCATTTTATTTTTTATCCATGTCGATATAATACGATTTTATGTGGTTTTGAGAAATCGATAATGTTTTATTTATATAGATTTGAAAATATCATATAAAATTTGTAAAAAATATATCAATATTAGTATCACATTAACTACTTAAAAGTTCTTGTTTGTATTTTTTTTTAATTCAAATTTTTTATTTCAATTTAATTTAACTTGTTTTAGGTTTAATAATATTTTTTTATAAAGATAATAATTAAGTATTCTGTTAGAACTCTTCTGTTAGAACTCAATAATTATCCTAATTATATTTTGGTTTTTTTTTATTTTAAAATGAGATGTTTATCCTATATTTGATTATGTTTATCYGCAGTTAGTTACACGAATTCAAACATAGAGTTTTAATAAGTTGTATTTGTGCACAATTTACTTGTAATCTTGAATTTTAAGTAATATGGATCAATAAACAGTACTTCATGCATAAAAATGGTTTTTAAGAATTTTTGTCAAATCATTTATAATATAATATAGATAGTATAGATTAGATTCCTAACAACCT